TACTATATTTCCAATTTTGTAATATACATATGTAATACTATAAAGAGAAGTGAGTGGAAGGAAATATAACGCAATGTTAACAGCACTGATACCTGGACAAGAAATATTTATTTCATTTGTCAACTCCGTATTTTCTACAAGGTTCATGCATTGCTTTTGTAATCAAAGAGTGCATAATAAGCCAAGTAAGAATGAGAATAATTCAGAATGAAACAATAGTCACACAGCAGCATTAGTTCCACATGTACTCTTGCTTTCTGCAGCCTTCCAAATCCAGGGAGAATGAATACCTCAGTGGGTAGCACTCCCAGGGTAAAACGGCTACACCTTAAAAGTACTATGCTGTCCAGAGACCTTTCATTCCTACCCAGTTTATTCTCTTTGTAGTACTTAATGCAATCTGTAATTGTCATGTTAATCTATGTGTTTACTTGTTAACTGTCCCAGTTTATCTGTCTTGCTCACCACTGTATCCTCTGAGCCTAGCACAAAATTGAGTGAACAGTAAATGTTACTCAGTAAATGCTGTTAAATTGATAAATGAATGAAAAATGGCAGCATCATTGGAGTAAGGTACAGCCTTCTGCAGTGATTAATTTGAAAATCCATGCTTCTGATGTAACAGTTCAAAACTATTCTCATACTATGAGCTATGGAATGAATAGAAGGAAGGTCCAGGAGGGAACAATGTAGCAGGTGCAAAGGGCAGAGTCCTAGTATAGGACATATGTAAGTTTGATGTCTGGCTCAAATCACATGCTAGCTGTGTCACATTTGGCAAGTTAGCCTCTGTGCCCTCTTTTGAGAGGATTGCAGGAGAAAATGGATATGAACTATCTAGCTGAAGTATTGATTCCATCCTCCGCTAGATTACAAACTTCATAAAAGTAGAGACCAGCTCTCTCTTATACACCTGTATCCCTAGGGCCTAAGCATACACAACCCCTCAATTAGGTAATAACTGGGTAAATAAATGGACCTGATTGTTAGGCCAAGGAGGAGTGGTTAACATGAAACCGGTAAGATAGAGGCAGAGGGTGGACGCACCGCTTACTTGCAGCTGCAGGGGAGAGCCATGTGAATTCCAAATTATATCCAAGAGTGACCCAAAGTGTTTGTGTCATGAGATTGTGTATGAGCAGATCATCAAAGCAAAGAAAGCTGAGGACGACGAGACCCATAGTGGAGTCCAGGGTCAGAGATGTAGGATGCTTGAGTAGGAAGGCACTCTGGGGGACTATGAGGCAGATAATGCTGACCTAGCCTAGGTCATTCTGGGTCTCCGGCAGTAGATCAGGGGATTGGGTCTGATCCATTTAGTGGCCCAGTATGGATCAGACTCACAGTACAAGATAATTAGTACAAGTTGAAAAATTTGGATATTCCCTTTCCTTCCTGAATGTTCTCCAATTCAAGGAACTTTAGAATTTGCTAATTTAGGTTGATTAATGGAAACTGAACAAATAAGCATGTGATCTGTTTATTTCCTCACCTACTTCCAAAATAATTTTGAGATGGCATCTTTATAGAATTTTTTAAATAACTGCAGTTTTGTTACTTTGAAATAGATACAGTAATTCATAGTAACTGCAGTAAAGTGTTTTCAATTAGGCACCATGCTGAGTTTGCTTTAATGAATGTCTAATATCACTTCCTTCATTTGAATACAAACAAAGAATGTACCAATTCTACACATTTTTCTCTTCAATTAAGGGGAAATTGGTTTATAACTGTGTTTACATTATTAATCTGTTCAGCAAGCACTATCTATAGATACAGAGTAGATACTTTATAGGCCACCAAAATATGTCATGTATCTTATGTAATTATAAGCAATTGTTAGTATTGTTAGTATACAGGAGTCCCTGGGTGGCGCAAAGTGTTAAGAGCTCAACTACTAGCATAAAGGTTGGCAGTTCCAACCCACCCGCAGTCTCCTCAGAAGACAGGCCTGGTGATCTGCTTCTGAAAGGTCACAGCCTTGAAAACTCTATGGAGCAGTTCTACTCTGCACACACACGGTCGCCATTAGTTGGAATCAACTCGACAGCAACTAACAACAACAAAATCAGTATACATGTCTACTGACTATGTGTTCACACACATTTATGGTGTTTAAAAAGTTAATGCAGATAAAATGGATGCACGCATTTGAAATTAGGGAGAACTAAGTTAATGATGATTTGTTCTGGGAAGGATCTCATCTTCATGCTCAGTAAGTATGTGTATATGTGTAAGAAGTTGCAGGCAGTCCCTAAAGGGCTCATTTTATATCTAAAATACATAGTTTAGTTCCACAAACACAATGACAATTATGTTAAACGGATTTTTATGATTCAGTCTCAGTTTGACCTTTGATCCTTTACCAGATCAGGGAGCTAGTGTGATCCATCCACCAGCACATTCAATGGCAAGTCATGAATTTTAACTGTGAGTTCAGCTCCGCTGTGAGCTCAGTCTGGGAATCTGGGCCACTTAGGGGTCAGTTTTCCTAACTGCAACAGGATACAAGCTTGTTCCCCCAATTGCACAGACATGTATACCATATACTTGATGTTATTCACAGCTTAAGCTCAGAAAGACATTTTGTCAGGATCTATTAATATTTTTCAAAGAAATGCACTTACTATGACATTTCATCAGGAAGCTGCTGCCTAAAAAATGTCAAATGCCAGAATATTTTAGCAGTACCAACCAAAACAGAACCTATCAATGTCTCCTTAAATTATATTTGAACTAGGGTTTTTTTTTCATGCATAATCTGAAGACATAAAATTAATAGAAATTATTCTATTGGCAAATAAGAATGCAAGTGAATATAGTCATATAAATATGTGTATCTCCTGGGGTGCATTTAAAATGATGACCAACCAGCCCACTTAGTTTGTAATAAGACCATAGATATAATTTCAGAAACACCAACTAAAAATATCCATGTCAATAAATAATGATAATAAGAAGAGTATTTATTGAATATCTGCTATGTCCCAGGGACTAGGCTAATTGCTTTGCATGGATTTTTTTCTCATTTCAAACTTACCGTACCAACACAGATAGGAAACTAGGCTTAACGAAGTGAAGTAACCTGTCCACAGTCATCCAGCTAATAAATAGTAAAGGCAGGATTCCTGTGCAGCAATATCTGGCCACCAAGGAGTGTTCCTACTCAGTATCTCATTTACGCATACAGCAAGAAAGTCCTCCCCAGCCTGACTTATTCCAACCAGCCTTTCCCCACCCTTGCACTTGGGCTGGGAAAGCTGTTCACACCACGAAGATAACTCAAGGGCAGAGACTGCTGCTGAGGCTGTGCACACACAGTGAAATTGTGCACACACAGTGTATGATTGAGTGTGGGGTGAAGGAGCAGGAAAGACACAGACCCAGGAAGAATGAACACCCACTCCATCACTACCATCACTATCACTACCACCCTGCCCAGGGAAGTGCTGTAGCAAGATGTCCTTCTGGACACTTCATAAATAAGAAGAGGGACTTATTTGTCTGCATAGTATCTTCCATCTACCACAGTTTCAGATGGTACCCCACTCCCCTGCCACCACTCTCTGTGAAATGGCAGAAACTTTTCTCCTTTTCCCCCACCATTGTTATTGTTGAGTGCCATCGAGTCGGTTCCAACTCACTGCGACCCCAGGTAACAGAGTAGAACTGCCTCATAGGGTTTCCTAGCTGTAATCTTTACAGGAGCAGATCGCCACATCTTTCTCCTGAGGAGGTACTGGGTGAGTTCAAACTGCCAACCTTTAGGTTGGTAGCTGAACACTCAACCGTCATGCCACCAAGACTCCTTTCCCCAGCCACTAGAAATCTCCAAATGAAGCTGGAGTTTTTGTAACCAGTTTGAGTGTAAAAACTCTGGTGCCAATTAATCTCCAACTGTTAAATCCCTCATATCATTAACCTACTCTATCTTCAGCACCACTTATGCTTGACTCACATAAATTTTGTTCAAAGCATTAAATCAGAACCTTCATCAAGATATTGTTTATGATATAGAAAGGCTAAAAACAACATATAATCATTAAGAAAGGATTGGTTAAACAAAACACAAAACATTCGTTGGAATATAGTGTTGCTGTTTTAAAAAGAAATGAGCTAGATGTGTACTGTCAAGTAAAAAAGTAGATTATACAAAATACGTATGTAAAATAAAGTAGTATGTAAAAATTCTACTAACTTTTTTCACATATACAAAACTCTGCTAAACATTTTGGTTTTACTGAATTAGCCCTCATGTAAAAGGGCTGCCCACCAATAGGATATAATGATATCAGAGGCACTTCAAATCTCTCTTCCTGCCACAGGTCCTGAAATTCCCCTAACAGCCATTTGTTTGTAATAAGAAAATTTTTTCAGAAGGCCCCTATATACACTACATACATTTCAAAATAAGATCAATGTTCCTGAAAGGGGCAAGACTTCTGTTGATGCCTATGTGGATTTTTAATTTAAACTAGATGATTCTGCTAACACAGAGAACAAGGAGAATATGTCCCACTGAACAGTGTGATGAATTTGAGAGAAGACACCAAACATTAAGCTTTTGGAAAAAGAGATCAAAGGGGAAGGTAGCCAATGTGGCTTCCTGCCTAGACTCAGTTCCGTATCACTCTCTACCTCTCCTAGCTAAAGCCACTTCTCCCTCACATTCAGGCACAGCCCTCCCCCTTACCTTTCCCCTCAACCAGATTCAGGAACTAATTCTATTCTCCTTCAGGGAGAATTTGAAATGCTCTGTCTAGATCCTTGCTCCTCAGAAGTATGGTCCTAGGACCAACAATTTCAGCATCACTGGGAGCTTGTCAGAGCCCTCGTGGTGCAGTGGTTAAGAGCTCAGCTGCTAACCAAAAGTTCAGCAGTTTGAATCCGCCAGGCGCTCCTTGGAAACCCTATGGGGCAGTTCTACTCTGTCCTATCGGGTCGCTGAGTCAGAATCGACTCGATGGCAGTGGGTTATGGGAGCTTGTTAGAAATGCAGAGTGCTCACGTCAGCAGCACATATGCTGAAAGTGGAACAATACAGAGGTTAGCATGGCCCCTGCACAAGGATGAGACGCAAATTCATGAAGCGTTCCATATTTTTTGTCACATTATAGGTATTACTACTAGGGTCACGTAACAATATGTGTATAAATTTTTGTATGAGAAAATAACTTGACCTGTAAACTTTCACCTAAAGCACAATTTAAAAAAAAATTACAAATCTTAAAAAGAAAGAAAAGCAGAAACTCAGGCCCCATTCCAGACCTATTGAACTAGAATCTGTGTTTTAACAAGATCCCTGAGTGTTTCATTTGCACAACAATTTAAGAAGCACTGCTGTAGGTCAATTCCCACATGACCCAGCTTCAGATCATTCTTGCTGCTGGCTGCACTCTTAATTTACCCTTGAATCAGTGACACGTTCCAGGAATAAACTTTATCTTTGCTGCTGCTGTGTTGTTGTGTAGTTGCTGTCAAGTCAGCCCTGACTCATGGTGACCCCATGCACAATGGAACAACACGCCGCCCAGCCCTGCACCATCCCCTTGGTAGGCTGTGGATTAGACCCTTATGACTTACGAGGTTTTCACTGGCTGATTTTCAGAAGTAGATGACCAGGCCTTTTTTCTTAGTCCACCTTAGTCGGGAAGCTCTGCTGAAACCTGTTCACCATCATAATAACACGAAGCCTCCACCGACAGATAACGCATAAGGTGCAGTGTCTGGGAATTAAACCCAGCTCTCCCACATGGAAGGAGAGAATTCTACCACTGAACCACCATGCTGCAAACTTTATCTTACTTCTTATAATTGGCTTCATGCTCTATTAACAAGTTCAGTGTTCCAGTGACTTCCAGACTGCGATCCTGCTTAGCTCTGGCTTTCTCCCACCACTTAGAAGATGCTTTGATTCAGAGCCCCAGCCACCCAACTATAATTTTAGTACAGCTGGTAAACTTCTGGATAATGAACCTATACAGTTCTCTTCATTGTCCACCCAGAATTCTCCCCACCCCACTGTCAAACCAATCTATACTATTTTCATGCCTTCTAGCCAAACTAGCAACACACCAATCCATCCTCTCAAAAGTTTTAGCAAAGAGTCACTGGTCTCCCTCACTGCAAAGAGGTTCTTCCCTGTCTCGCTTTGCAAGCCTTTTTACTCTTGCTCTTTTATCTGTGGAAAGAGTAGCAAGCTTATCAGCTTCATCACTGAGCCATTATTAACGCATTTCTCACCTTGCAGTTCACATCTTGGAAATCAGTTGAAAAATCACTGTCTGCAGCAAATCCAGAGGAATGAAAGGTGCTGCCCCTCTATTCACATAATTTTACCACAGGTACTCTTTGACATGGCTTCTCATCTACAGTGGGGTACTGAAAGAGGAAAAAGTGTTACAGATAAGAAATACATGCTTGTATTCCTGATCGCGTGATTTTCTTTGCATTTTTACATTCTTGTAGAAAATGACTATTTTGCTTCACTAATATGACAAATAATAATGACACATACCATTTATAAAGGCTTTCACTGCTTCCTGAGCACTTTCATTCCAGGACTTCAGTTTATCCCACAAATCTTCAATAGGCAGAAAAGACATTTAGTAGAGGAGGAGAGTGAGGCTCAGAGGGATTAAGTGATTTTTCCAAAGTTCAAGCTGCTAATTGAACCCAAGTATCATAATTCCAGGTCACCACAATTTTTGATTACAATATGCTGCCTCGTATTAAACTATATTAAAAAAACCTAAGCGTTCAAGGATAGAAATTCTCCTGGTTCCCAAAGCTTTCCTCGGCATTTCAAGGGTTTAGTTTGAGAAAAATAATCATCAGAACAAATGCATAATATGTTCATTTAACTGCTGCTCAAAACATATCCAGTACTTGTGATTTACTGTTGATTTTTAGATGGTTTAACTTTCAGAAGCTGAATATTTTTCAGGTCAAATATGAAATCAAACAGTCAATATACTGAGACCCAAACTAGAGCCCAAGAATGCTGAATATATTTTGCCTTATGTCCTGTACCAAATGACGAATGGGCAGCAAGGGCTTTCAGGGTTATAATTTCAACCCAAGGTTCTGGTAACTACATGAAATCCTTGAGTGGTTTATGATATCATAAGGTGAAATTATAGCTCCCAAGGGGCATAAGTTGTTGAATGCTTTCAGGCACTGAGTACCATACCTAGCCAGTCCTCTATAGCAATTATAGGAAAAACTATATTAAATGTCCAGTCATATTGATTAATGACTCTAAATATAGAAATTATTTTTTAAAATAAGAATGACAGACAAGTGATTCATTCTTCTATCCATTATATGTTGTTGTTAGGTGCCGTCGAGTTGGTTCCAACTCATAGCAGCCCTATGTACAACAGAACAAAACACTACGTGGTCCTGTGCCATCCTCACAATAGTTGTTATGTTTGAGCCCATTGTTGCAGCCACTGTGTCAGTTCGTCTCATTGAGGGTCTTCCTCTCTTCACTGACCCTCTACTTTAGCAAGCATGATGTCCTCTTCCAGGGATTGATCCCTCCTAGTACCATCCAAAGTAAGTGAGATGAAGTGTTGCCATCCTTGCTTCTAAGGAGCACTCTGGCTGTACTTCTTCCAAGACAGATTTGTTCATTCTTCTAGCAGTCCATTGTATATTCACTATTCTTCACCAACACCATAATAAAAATGCATCTATTCTTCTTTGGTCTTCCTTATTCATTGTCCAGCTTTCACATGCATATGAAAACCAAGCCCCAAACCTGCTGCCATCGAGTCAATTCCAACTCATAGCAATCCTATAGAACAGAGTAGAACTGCCCCACAGCATTTCCAAGGCTGTAACTATTCAAGGAAGCAGACTGCCACATCTTTCTCCCACTGAGCAGCTGGTGGGTTCGAACTGCCAACCTTTCTATTAGCAGCTGAGTGCTTTAACCACTGTGCCACCAGGGCTCCTCTATCTGCACACATATGAGGTGATTGAAAATAGAATGGCTTGTGCCAGGCTCACCCCAGTCCTGAAAGTGACATCTTTGCTTTTTAACACTTTAAAGTGGTCTTTTGCTGCAGATTTGCCCAATGCAATACGTCATTTGATTTCTTGACTACTGCTTCCATCAGCATTGATGGTGGATCCAAGTAAAATGCAATCCTTGACAACTTCAATATTTTCTCCATTTATCATGATGTTGCTTATTGATCCAGCTGTGAGGATTTTTTCGTCTATATTGAGGTGTAATCCATACTGAAGGCTGTAGTCTTTGATCTTCATCAGTGTTTCAAGGTAAAAGGATGTCTAAGGGCCATAGTCTTAGAGGTTCCTTCAGGCTCTCTCAGACCAGTAAATCTGGTCTTTTTTATGAATTTGAATTTTGTTCTACTTTTTTTCCCCCTACTCTAAGTGGGAACTTCTATTGTGGTCCTGTTCATAGTGGTTGGTAGTGGTAGCCGGACACTATCTAGTTCTTCTGGTCTCAGGCTAGTGGAGGCTGTGGTTCCTGTGGTCCATTCGTCCTTTGGATTCATTGTTTCTTGAGCCTTTGGTTTTCTTCACTCTCCTTTGCTCTAGACAGAAAGAGACAAATAGTTGTATCTTAGATGGCTGATTGCAAGCTTTTAAGACCCCAGACACTACTCACCAAAGTAAGATGTGGAACGTTGTCTTTACGAACTATGCCAATTGAGCTAGATGTCCCCCGAGACTATGGTCCCTAGCCTTCAGGCCCAGTAACTCAGTCCTGCAAGGTGTTTGGTTATGTCTAGAAAGTTTCCATGACTGTTACCCCTGTATGCTCTGTTATATATATAAATATACATGCAGCACATACAAATATATATGTAGAAATATCCACAGCCAAGCCTATATGTGAACGTCGGTGTACTCCCATATGCCCTCCCACACCTATTTGGCATACATAACTAACTATGTATCCACTCATAAATTATTATTTGCTATTACTGTTGTTGCAGAATTATATATGTTACAGTATTTACTGTCATTACTTTTATTCTTACATATCTCTCATTGTCTTCCCTTGCCTTGCTTGTGTTGTTATGACTTCCTCATATTGTGTATTTCCTTTCCCTTCACCAAAGTTAACATGTGTCTACTCTCTAGTTATTTTTCCTCCCTCCTCTTCCCATCCCTGGTAACCATCAAAAAATGTTTCTTTCTGTGTGTAAACCTTTTCTTGCTATTCATAACAGTGGTCGCATACAGTATTTGTGCTTTTGTGACTGACTTATTTCACTCAGTATAATATCCTCCAGATTCATGTGTTGTGAGATGTTTTGCGGATTCATCATTATTCTTTATCGTTGCATAGTATTCCATTATGTGTACATACCACATTTTTCTTACCCATTCATCCACTGATGGGCGCTTAGGTTGTTTCCATCTTTTTGCTATTGTGAATGGTGCTGCAATGAACATGGGTGTGCATATGTTTATTCTTGTCATGGCTCCTATTTCCCGAGGATATATACCTAGGAGTGAGATTGCTGGATCATATGGTATTTCTATTTCTATCTTTTTGAGGAAGCACCATACCATTTTCCATAGTGGTTATACCATTTTACATTCCCACCAGCAGTGTATAAGAGTTCCAGTCTCCCCACAACCTCACCAGCATTTGGTGTTTTCTGTTTTTTTTGATGAGTACCATTATTGCTGAGGTGAGGTGGTATCTCATTGTAGTTTTGATTTGCATCTCTCTAATGGGGTTGCTATGAGTCAGAATCAAATCGATGGCAACGGATTTGGTTTGGTTTTTGGTAATGGCTGATGACCAAAAGCACCTCTTCATGTGTTTTTTATTTTTTTCACTTTAGATGAAAGTTTATAGAACGAACTAGCTTCTCATTAAACAATTAGTACATATATTGTTTTGTGACATTGTTTAACAACCCCACGACATGTCAACTGTCCCTTCTCAACCTTGGGTTCCCTATTACCAGCTTTCCTGTCCCTCCTGCCTTCTAGTCCTTGCCCCTGGGCTGGTGTGCCCTTTTGGTCTCTCTCTCTCTCTTTTTTTTTTTTAATGGGCCTGTCTAATCTTTGGCTAAAGGATGAACCTCAGGAGTGACTTCATTAGTGAGC